AATTATTATTTTCCATTCAGCGCCAAGTTTCCTATATATATTAGAATAAGGTTGATGATTCTTATAAATTTAAATCTTCTATATTCATATTAATTTCATCTAATTCATTTGTAGATATCTTAGGTATGTTGAAGTCCTCTGTAGTATTTAGGGAGTTGGTCAGTTTATCATTGTATTTCTTGCCAGTTTTTTCTTTCCATATTTTCAAACTATGTCTTAAGTACATAGAGATTCATGAGTGCTATATCTTGTTGGTGGATGCACTTTTTTTTTTTGTGTGTGGTACGCGGGCCTCTCACTGTTGTGGCCTCTCCCGTTGCGGAGCACAGGCTCCAGACGCAGGCTCAACGGCCATGGCTCACGGGCCCAGCCGCCCCACAGGATGTGGGATCTTCCCGGACCGGGGCACGAACCCATGTCCCTTGCATCGGCAAGCAGACTCAACCACTGCGCCACCAGGGAAGCCCCTTTCATCACTCTTAAAAGAAGCCCCATACTCTTTAATCCCCTGTCTTCCACCACATTTTCTCCTTTCCCCAGCCTTGGGCAACCTCTAATTTACTTTTGTCCCTATGCATTTGCCTATTTTGGAACTTTCATATAAATGGAATTACACAATAGGTGGTCTTTTGTGTCTGGCGTCTTTTACTTAGTATGTTGTTTTCAGGATTCATCCATGTTATTGCATGCATCAGTACTTCATTCATTTTTATGGCCAAATAATATTACATTGTATGAATATATCATGTTTTACTTATCTGTTAACCAATGGAAAGATATTTGGATTTTTCTACTTTTTGAATGTTATGAATAAGGCTGCTGTGAACACATATATAAGTTTTTGTGTGGACATATGTTTTCATTTCTCTTGGATATTTGATTATGAGTGTAATTGCTGGGTCATATGGTAGCTCTATGTTTAACCTTTTGAAGAACTGCTAGACTTCTTTCCCAAGCACCTTCACCATCTTATATTCCTACAACAGTGTATGAGAGTTCTAATTTCTCCATATTCTCACCAACACATTAAAAATAGATACAACTGAAGAGCAGATTTCTGAATAAGAGTTCTCCTAGTCATGATCGATATTTTGTCTCTTGCTGCCTCAGCTTTGCTAGAGTTGCCCAAAATATACCTCTGGACCTGGCTCTAAATATACCTTTGGAAAGGGCAATAGGTGTCAGATTGCATTAATTTTTTCTTGAAACAAATTACTTTAATAACTTCTTACTATGTTTAGATAGTTTAAATAGTCTTTCCTTTTTAAATTAAAGCAAATTTGAATGATTTACATAGGGAAAAAATTTTGCCCAAGTTATAAAATTTGCATTAACGATAAAGTTTTTCAGATCTAATGCAAACCTAGAAAAAAGTAGTTTGTTTTTGAGTCGCCCACCTTTCTCCTTTTCGTTGTCTTCTATTCTCCAAATTGTAATCTTATATGTCAGTATTATACCCTGACAATTCGGTTTTTAAAATTTAATAGAATCAAAGAATTTTAAAGCTAAAAATTCCTTCAGATATGTCAACAAGCTTAACAGCTTTATTTTGCAGGTAAAATTTTTTAAAGACCCAGTAACATGTGACAGTTTAATCTGTATTTGCTATAGAAGTTTTCTGAAGTGATTGATAGTGCATATCGTACTTTTTAATTCTGATATGCACGATTTATTTACAAACCTGTGATCATTTTCATTGTCCATAAATTTCTGAAGTTCTTAGAATCCAAAATCAGTGGATAAAATGTCTTTTTTTGTAACAAATTTTGAAATATTGCATATATCATACCTGCTTTAAAATGTTCTAAGCTTTTGTGAACACAAAGTTAGACGTTTTCTAAATCATGTATAACTCTTTGATATTCTGAATTCTGTTCTGTATAATGGGGAAAAATTCCCTACTGGATTTCTTTGGGGGGAATTTTGTGCATTGAACCAGTTTCTTTCTTATTTCTCAGGTTTCCCTTCTTAAATAGATGTTAGTCTATTAAAATGGAATATATTTTGGAATCATCAACTTAATGGTCTTCCTTAAGTAAAACGTTAGGTATTTCTCCAGATCTTGAATGTTCAAAACATTGAAATTGCTATTATCTCAGACTCAAGGAAAAAGAGTTGAAATATTATCTGTGTTTTCAGAAAAAGGTATACCACCATTGAATTTCATTCTACTAAGAATCAACAATTATGCAAATTCATGACACACTTCATCTGGTTTTACATCCTTGGGATATTTTTACACTCTTCTAACTGAATTACAGCAGCCAGAACAGACTAAGAATTTGCATGGTGAGAAACTTTGATTCAGAAAGTGCATATTCAAAAAGCAAATTCTAATAGCCAACGTTGAGGCACTCGAAGATTTTTAAATTAATAATATCCCTATGTTTTTTTACCTGTTAACATGGTGTTATGGGGAATTTTTATTTTTATTGATCAGGACACCATGATCAATGTATAATATGCAGTGAACTATTTTACCAATTAGTGATTTTCTTAGTGATTAGTGTGTTCTGGCTGCTATAACAAAATACCACAGACTTGGTAGCATGTAAACAACGGAAACTTATTTCTCACAGCTCTGGAGGCTGGAAGTCCGAGATGAGGGTGCCAGCATGGTTGGGTGAGAGCCCTCTTCCTGTCAGAAGCCAGTGGCTTCTTGCTGTGTCCTCCTGTGGTGGAAGGAGCAAGGGAGCTCTGTGGGATCTTTTTTATAAGAGTACTAAGCCCATTTGTGAAAGTTTCGCCCTCATGACCTAATCACCTTTAAAGACCCCACTTCCTAATACCTTCATCTTTGGGGATTAGGATTTCAAAAAATGATTTTGGGGCTTCCCTGGTGGCGGAGTGGTTGAGAGTCCGTCTGCCGATGCAGGGGACGCGGGTTCGTGCCCCGGTCCGGGAAGATCCCACATGCCGTGGAGCGGCTGGGCCCATGAGCCATGGCCGCTGAGCCTGCGCGTCCGGAGCCTGTGCTCCGCAACGGGAGAGGCCACAAAAGTGAGAGGCCCGCGAACCGCAAAAAAAAAAAAAAGTAAAAAAAAAATGATGGCTTAGATATACACTGGTTGACATAGAAAGATATTCTCAATGTATTGGATTGAGTTATTTAAACAGCATGTTATAAAACACTATAAATATTCAAATGTTCTAATCTATTTTACAATGTCTTCATTACTTTTTAGTTACTTTTGTAATAAAATAACTAGTCGTATTGTGGATAATAGATAAATGAGCAAAGTACTGAGATAATTCACAAATGAAGAAATAAAAATGGCCAATAGGGACTTCCCTGGTGGCACAGTGGTTAAGAATCCACCTGCCAATGCACGGGACACAGGTTCGTGCCCCGGTCCGGTAAGATCCCACATGCTGCAGAGCGGCTGGGCCCGTGAGCCATGGCCGCTGAGCCTGCGCGTCCGGAGCCTGTGCTCCGCAACGGGAGAGGCCACAACAGTGAGAGGCCCGCGTACCACAAAAAAA